GTGGGTTCGTTTCTCGGCACCAAAGCCAAGCTCCTCCAATGAGCAGTGCAGACTTGCTGGCCAGTTCTTCAACCCCCTCGACTCCTTACACGATAGTAATCTGGTTTCTGCCCACCCTGCATTGCTCCATGGAAACTACTCTTGCCAACGTCCCCACTGACCACCTAATTGCCAAACCCAACAGACATTCTTCAATTCTTGTCTTATTTGACCTCTGTAGTGCCTGATACCTCTTTACTTCCTCCTTCTTAAAAACAGCCTCTTTTCTTAACAACTTCTCTAGCCATTCCTTCCCAGTTTCTGCTGGTGGGCTCCACTTCCTCTTCTGGAATTTTAAATATTGGTCACCACCTGGTTTCTTGGTGCCCTTCTTTCCTAACTCTACACACGCTCCATGGGTTATCTCATTCACCCCCAGGTCTCAAGCTATGAAATATATGCAGATCACTCCCAAGTCTTCATCTCCAGCCCCAGACCTGCTCCTCACCAGGTTTGGTCCACAACCACAGACTCACATATACAGCCACCAAATAAGCTTCCCAACTTGGATGTCCCATGTGCATTATGAATTCAACACGTCAGACTGACTCATCACACACACGCGTACACACACACACACACACACACCCCTACACTAAACTGCTCCTCTTCTTGTGGTCCCTTTCTCAGGAGAAATCATCACCTTGCACCCAAACCCCCAAGCCAGGACTCTGGGGCATCGTCCACAATCTTCTCATCACCACACATTCACAGTCATAGTGCGCGTTCTTCGCCATCTCATCTACCCACCCACCCCCACTCCCCTGCTGCTCTCCTACCAATTGCTGACTGTCTTTCACCTGGATCACTTCAGTGCCTCTCAAATCACTTTCCCTTCCTCCTCTTACCATAACCTCCCCATTTCTTTTTTTTTTAATTTATCTATTTATTTATTTGTTTTTTTAAATTTTTGGCTGCATTGGGTCTTCGTTGCTGTGCGCGGGCTTTCTCTAGTTGCAGCGAGCTGGGGGGGTGCTACCCTTCATCGCGGTGCGCAGCCTTCTCATTGCGGTGGCTTCTCTTGTTGCAGAGCATGGGCTCTAGGCACGCAGGCTTCAGTACTTGTGGCACATGGGCTCAGTAGTTGTGGCTCGCGGGCTCTAGAGCGCAGGCTCAGTAGTTGTGGCACACGGGCTTAGTTGCTCCGCGGCATGTGGGATCTTCCCGGACCAGGGCTCGAACCCGTGTCCCCTGCATTGGCAGGCAGGTTCTTAACCACTGTGCCACCAGGAAAGTCCACCCCTCAACCCCACGTCTCTGATACATTGTCTGCTGCCAAAATGAGCTCCTAAAACCCCGAGCTCATCACACAAGCACTTTTCAATTATTTCTTCTTGCTCTTGGGCAAATACTTTCTTCCTGATCTGGCCCCTCCTTACCTCAACTTCAGCACTATTGACATTTGGAACTGGATACTTCTTTGTTGCAGGGGGATGTCCTGCGCAGTGTTGGGTGTTTAGCAGCAATGTCCTCACCCTTTAGATGCCAGTAGTACCTTCCCCCCAAGTTGCAACCATCCAAAATGTCTCCAGATATTGCCAAATGTCCCCTTGGGGGCAGACTTGCCCCCTAGTTGAGAGCCACTGGTCTACAACCTCAACTCTCCAAACACACACACACACACACACACACACACACACACACACTCCACTCTGCTCCAATCATACTGAACACCCTGCTATTTCCCTAATGTTCTGTGAGCTCTCAGATACCATTTCATCTGCCCAGAAAGCCCTTTCCTCTCTAACCACTGTGCTAGCCCTCCTCTTCTACTAAGTCTCAGGCAAAGATCCACTCTTCCAGGAAGCCTGCCCTGATTCTCCCAGAGAGAAGTAGAAAGGAACCTCATGGGGCTTAACTCTAGCCCCGCCCCTATCCCATCTCACGGCAGCTGTCTTCTTGCTGTCTCCCCAGAAGACTGGCAGCGTTGCCTTTCTCACCTGTGTATCTCTGGTACCTGCAGTGTCCTGGAAACATGCCAAAGGCTCAATTCATGTTTGCTGAATAAGCGAATGAATGATGAAAAGAAATTTTTGTTTAAGATGAGTTGAGCAGATGCTCCCTGAAATGAGATCTTAAGCAGGAATTTTAATAACAATAACAACAGCAGCATCTAACATTTAAGAAGCACTTTCTTTTATTTTTTAAATATTTTTGGCCACACTGCGTGGCATGTGGGATCTTAGTTCCCTGACAAGGGATGGAACCTGCCCCCCCTGCAGTGGAAGCACAGTCTTAACCACTGGACCACCAGGGAAGTCCCAGGAAGCACTTTCTATGTGCTAAGTGTTTTGAGTGTTCCGCATCATTTAATCTTCTAAACAACTGTATCAGACAAGTACCACTGTCATCTGTAAATTATAGACAAAAAGACTGAGGCTCAGGATGGTGAAGCTGCCTGCCAGGTAAGCATCAAAGCCAAGATTTGAATGGAGAGCCTGAGCTCTTATCCTCCACACCTCACTTCCCCGTCGTGGTGAGTAATTAGCTCAAAGCAACATGAGCGGCGCTCAAGCCACCCCGTAAGCTAGTGGGGCAGGTGATGATATAGGAAATATGAAGAATGTGCTCCTTGGGATTCAAAGGATCCTGGGGCCGTTCCTGGCTCTGTCACTCGTGAGCTGGCCCACCACGTGAGCTTGGTAGGTGCCTCATCTCCCATTCTCTGTCTGCCCATCTGCAAGTTAAGGATGAGAACCTCACAGGGCTTGGGGAGGACTCACTGAGAAGGTGGTTGTACAATAATCTAATCTGACACATGGTAGGTTCTGAACAAACCGTCCTATTCTCCCCATTTTAGAAATAGAGAAAGCAAGGCTCAGAAAGGTTAAGTGATGGTCCAAATTCCATGTACTGGCAAATGACGGAACTTGAAAAAAAGAATTCTAGGGGCTTCCCTGGTGGCGCAGTGGTTGAGAATCTGCCTGCCAATGCAGGGGACACGGGTTCGAGCCCTGGTCCGGGAAGATCCCACATGCCGCGGAGCAACTGGGCCCGTGAGCCACAACTACTGAGCCTGCGCGTCTGGAGACTGTGCTCCGCAACAAGAGGCCGCGACAGTGAGAGGCCCGCGCACCGCGATGAAGAGTGGCCCCTGCTCGCCGCAACTAGAGAAAGCCCTCGCACAGAAACGAAGACCCAACACAGCCAAAAATAAATTTAAAAATTTATTTAAAAAAAAAAGAATTCTAACAAGCAGATATTTTCTGAGCATCTTCGACGTACTCAACACTGCGTGGGACCAGTCACAGACACCACCAAGAGGAGCCAGGTCCTGAGCACCTGGAAATATAGCTCTGCTCTCCCAGCTGGAAGCTCAGAGCCATGATGGAGGTTCAGTTGGTGAGAAGAGCTCAGAACTGGGGTCTCACAGAAACGGCAGGGGAGTTTGTGCCCGTGCGGTGAGGGCCTATGGATGCAAGCTGACTCGCTGATTGGGTAATGAGTGGGAAAGGCAGTTGGTCACGGTGATTGGCGTAATGGGCTTTCACGTTTGCTGGTCTAGCGCCAGGCTGGACACACACAGCAACCCTGAAGCAGCTTCTGTCAGGCCCCAGAAAGACTCCTGGGGATGACTGAGGGGTCCTGCGGTGGGGGGGGGGGCTTTGCGTACCTCAGGGTCTTCCCCCCAGATAGACCTCTCTCTTGACCAGCTGTGGAAGGACAGCATTCTGATGCTAAGGATGGATGCATCCTTCCGTCCCCTTGTTGACAAAGAAATTAATCAATAGTCAATCTAAGAAAAAAATATAAATTTTTATTTTTTTATATTTATTTATTTGACTGCATTGGGTCTTACTTATGGCACGCGGGATCTTTTTAGTTGCAGCATGCGGGATCTTTTTCTTAGTTGCAGCATGCGAACTCTTAGTTGTGGCATGTGGGATCTAGTTCCCTGACCAGGGATCGAACCCAAGCCCCCTGCATTGGGAGCGTGGAGTCTTAGCCACCGGGACACCAGGGAAGTCCCAGAAATGGAAAATTTTATTCGAGCCAACCTGAGGGTTATAACCCAGGAGACAGTCTTTCAGAAAGTTCTGAGGACTGTTCCACCTGTTAGGGATCAAAGCAATGACATCAGTTTTTGAGACAAAGGGTTATATGTCAAATGACATATTATTGACAGTTTACACAATCCAAATCTACATGTACAGTGAGTAGTGGGTCGTGGGTCATTGTGACCCCTTACAAGATTAAGAAGGAAGGTTATCTCCTAAGGAATTGTGACGCTTTGTGAGATTAAGAAGGAATGTTATCTCCTACGGAGGTCTGATTAATGCAGACGCACGGCACACATCTTCATTAGGAGAGGGAGGAGGCCCAAACGGGCTGAGAAAATTTTTATGTTTAAATCTTTCTTGTCATAAAATATAAATTTTATTTTATCACCTCCCCCAACATGATACTCCCAGAAATACCCCAAATTTCTCCAGAGCCCCCTGGCTCAAGTCACCCTGAGGTTTCCACAGACAAGTCCCTGCGGGTGGGGGATGGAAATCTCAGGGTGGTGGAAGGTTAAAGAGGCTCCTTCCTTCCTTCAAACATTCATTTATTCCTTCCCTCTTTCCTTCCCTTCTCTTCTCTCCCTTTCCTCTCCCCTTCCTCCCTCCCTCCCTCCCATCTTTCCTTCCTTCCTTCTATCTCTCTGAATTTGTCTCTATCTCTTTCTGTCTCTCTTTTCTTTTTTAAAAAATTTTTGGCTGTGTTGGGTCTTCGTTGCTGCGTGCGGGCTTTCTCTAGTTGAGGCTGCTCTTTGTTGCGGTGCGCGGGCATCTCATTGTGGTGTCTTCTCTTGTTGGGGAGCACGGGCTCTAGGCGTATGGGCTTCAGTAGTTGCAGCACGGGGGCTCAGTAGTTGTGGCCCATGGGCTCTAGAGCACAGGCTCAGTAGTTGTGGCGCATAGGCTTAGTTGCTCCACAGCATGTGGGATTTTCCCGGACCAGGGATCAAATCCGTGTCCCCTGCACTGGCAGGTGGATTTTAACCACTGTACCACCAGGGAAGTCCCTGTCTCTCTCTTACATTCAGTATTTCTTGAACCTCCATTCTGTGCCAGGTAGGGTGCAAAGTCCTGAGGATACAGGGGGTAATAAAAGATACAGTTACTGCCCACATAGAGTTCCCAGCCTAATGGAAGTCTTGCATCATCATTATTATTATTATTTAATCTGTATGTTGAACGGCAACTGTGACAAGCTCTATGCTAGAGAAGTACCTGGTGCAATGAAAATCTGTACTCAGTAACAGGCTGGAAAGGAAAGAAGGGAGACCTGAGCTGAGAGCTGAAGGAACTGTAGGAGTTAATGATGGGTTGGATGGGACGCATTCCAAGCAAGGAGAATAAAACCATTTTAAAATGTGCACTTGACCTTTAACATGATATTGTGTATGTAATAAAAATTACTACGGGACCTACTGTGTGCCAGGGCCAAGCGTTTTTCATGTGGAGCCTCATTTATCCTCACCTGAAGGGAGAGGCTACTACCGGTTCAAGGACACGAGACCCAGGGCTGTCTGTCCACGCTCCTTCCTGGGCCCCAGCCACCTCTGGGCCCTGGCTCCAGAAGGAATACACAGCCTTATCCCTGGTGATGGACAGTTCTCTGCTCACAGATTTTCTGCATTGACTACTGAAGAAACAAAAAAAAGTGCAAAAATTGAATATGAAGATTGACAGTTTTCAATGACTTTGGCTTAAGATTTGGGATAATTAGAAAGCCATTTTTTCGTCTTGAAGGTTTCCCACTTGAAACAATGCAAGAGAATCTGTGCTGCTTTGTTAGACAGAAACAAGTTTGGGCAAATGCTTGCAGGGTGGTTTCTGCCCTGAACAAACGAAGTGACATTCCAGGCTCCGTCAGGTTTGGAGCCCCTCACTCTGCCCGTCCCCCAGGGAATCACAGATGTTATTGGTAACGGCAGGCACACACCACATGCCTGCTGCATCCCAGGCGGTTGATGTCATGTTTGAAGTGCTTTAAATTAATTCGCTTAATCCTTACAACTCCAAGATGTAGTTCTACTGTTATCCCCATTTTACAGATGGAGAAGCTAAGGTACCGTGAACCTAAGTCCCAGAGCTTGCATGGTAAAGAGCTGGCAGTTGGTCTGGGGCAGTCCACGGCCGAGCCCAAGGTACCTCTACCTTTTATTCCCCAAAGTCCTCTGTAGTCTTCCCAACCAGCTCCCATACTGCTTATTATCTTCGTACAGGTGAGGAAACTGAGGCTCCGTATGATTAAGGGCTTCTTCGAGGTCGCACAGCTGGTAAGTGTCTGAAGCCCAGAGCCTTTCCCCATGCACCTACTGCTTGAGTCCACCTTCAGGCCTGGGAGGTAACACCGGACTCAACAAACGGAATGCGGAGGGACCTGAGCAACGTCCGGGGTTTAATCACCCTGTCAGTGAGTCAGCCCCGCTGTGGGCAGCAGTGGACCCAGGAGCGGTCAGACATGGCCCATCTGTGAAGTCCTCATCGCCAACAAAGGACCGGAGCCTGGACCAGAGCCTGTGCCCTGGAGCCTGGATGAATTGTTCTTCCCAAAGAACGTTAAAGGAGGGACTCAATGCTGTGCCCCAGAGCCACGCCCAGTGCATTTGGGAAGCATCTATCCCCCAAGGGGCTGGAAGAAAAAGGCGCTCCGGGACATAACTGCTAGGACACCAAGCTTTGAATTAGGGGAAGAGGATCAACGCCCCTGGGAAGCGGGCAGCCAATTCCTTCAGACTGGAGAACAGTGAGCACGATTAAGGGAAGATTAAAGGATGTGATGCCATTCCCTAGAAACTCCCAAAGTGGCTCTTCTGGCTCTATTATTATTTACACTCTCGACATGTCCTAGGCTGCTTTCACGGTTCACTGTCATCTGGGACCCCCTGCTCAGGCAGCAGAGGGGGGGACAGAAAGGGAGGGGGAACCGCAACGTCCAAGACATGTGTGAGGGGAGACCCAGGATGGAGTGGGGGATCGAGTTGTGACACAGCCATAAGATGGGGTTGTAAGCAGCCGTTCAGTCACGTTTTTGTTTTTTTAGTTTTTTAAAATTTTTATTTATTTATTTTTGGCTGTGTTGGGTTTTGCGCACGGGCTTTCTCTAGTTGCGGCGAGCAGGGGCTACTCTTCATTGCGGTGTGTGGGCTTCTTATTGCAGTGGCTTCTCTTGTTGCAGAGCATGGCTCTAGGCGTGCGGGCTTCAGTAGCTGTGGCATGCAGGCTCAGTAGTTGTGGCTCATGGGTTTGTTGCTCCGCAGCATGTGGAATCTTCCCGGACCAGGGCTCGAACCCATGTCCCCTGCATTGGCAGGCAGGTTCTTAACCACTGTGCCACCAGGGAAGCCCCACAGTCACGTTTTTGACAACTATTTGATGACGTAAAGAAGAGCCTACGAGATGGTTTCCGTCACCACACACACAGCTGCACCACTGGGAGGACACAGTTGTTAGCCACGATGGTATCTCAGAGCGCTGCAATTAACAGCGGTATTTCTTTTTCACGCAGTTCTTTATTTTCTGATCTGCTTTACAACAACTACTTATTTCTTACATAAGAATGAATGTAAAGAAAAGGTAACGTCAGGAATTCCGTGGCGGTCCAGCGTTTAGGACTTTCACTGCCCTGCCGAGGGTCCACACGGCGCGGCCAAAAACACAAGAGGCAAAAGGTAATGTCTAAAATGAATGTGAAGGTGACCTTAGGAGTCAGACAGACGTGGGTTTAAATACCAGCTCCACAGTGCGACAGTTGGATGATCTTGGATGTAACTTACACGCAGAGCCTAACTTTGATCCCCTGTAAATTGAGGCTGATTAAAGGAGATGGTCACACAATGTTTCTGATTCACGCTGTCGCCGTCCTTTGAAGAGCAGGCGCCCTCCTCCTCCTGGTGGACTGTCCCCTGCCCCAGGGAAGACGCCGTCCGGCACTGCCTGCAGCAGGGGCATATTTGCCCGAGTCCCTCTCTGCTGAGGTTGGTAGCAGAGGGTTGCACTGGGAGCCTGTTGCTGAGTGAAATCCGAAGTTGTGAAACCCCTGGGTTGCTTGCTTCCTTGTTTGAAAGAGTGGTTGATTCCATTTGAGGAAGAGGTTACAGGAGGGAGGCTCTTGGGACAGAAATGAGGGCTGTACACATGGGCTGCTTCTCTCACGCACCAATCTTCCCCAGAAATCATCCTTGACTCTCTCTGGATACAGCTGTTCTCTGCACTTCCTGAGGAATCCAGGCTTTTTTTTAAAAATAACAGCTTTGTTCAGATATAATCCATATACCACACAACTCATCCATTTAAAGCGTACGACTCAGTGGTTTTTAGTATATTCAGAGTTGTACAACCATCACATTATCAAGTTTGGAAGATTTTTATCATCCTGGAAAGAAACCCCTTACTGTTAGCAGTCACTAATCTTCCCCGCAGCCCTACGCAATAGCTAATCCACTTTCTGCCTCTATAGATTTGCCTATTTTCTATCTGAATGGAATCCTACTATATTCTGTCTCTTCTGACTGGCTTCTTTCACTTAGCATAATGTTTTCAAGGTTCGTGCATATGGTAGCATGTATCAATAATACCTCATTCCTTTGTATCGCCAAATAACATTCCATCGTATGGACATACCACATGTTGTTATTTATCCATGGTATTAGGCATCCTTTTGAATTTAATATATTAACTGTAATGATAGCTTTGATCTGTTAAGTACCTACCATGTGCTAGGCACTTGACCTAATTTCTAATCTAGTCCAGGGAGGCAGGTCTATCTCTCCAATCACACTGATAAATTAACTGAGATGTAGAGGAGAAGTGTTCCATCCAAGGTCACACTGGTGAGAGCTGGGATGCCAAAAGGGTTGGCCCGGCTCCCGATTCATACTGCCCCACCCCACCCCGTGTGCTATGCTCTCTCCTTCCAGTTCTTGTTCTGAAGCCCGAACGAGAAAGAATCCACTCATTCAGTGATCATTCTTCCAACAAGCCCTAACTGGTACCACATGCATGGCAACCAGGCACTAGTCCCTGAGCCTAGTGAGACCCAGATGCTGCTTCCTGGAGCTCCCTGTTGAAGGGAGGAGAGGTGGTCATGGCAGGGGCCAGTCTCCAGGAAGGGTGTGACCAAGGCCTAGGGACTCAGAGCTGCTGGAGAGCCCAAGGAAAGGTTTTTACAGGAGATGACATTTTGAGCAGGACCCCAGTGGACCAGGCAGATTTCCCTGGCAGACAGGGTGAGCCCCCAGTGCAGAACTGGTGTGCTCACAGATCCTAAACCAGAAACCTGGGTCCACAGGGATGAGCTCTGTGTCCCTGGAGGTGGGAGGTGAAGAGGGCAGGGGAGAGGTTGGCATCACATTGCTGACCGCCTGGATCGCCAGGCTGGACTCTAGGCTTTGTCCTATGCCTGTGCAGCAGCTCAAAAAACATTTATTGAATCAATGAATGAATCCGCCTGCCGGCCCCTCCCCACAAGTCCTCTCCTGGCTAAAAGGAATAAAACAAATAAAACACCTGGTGTGTTCCAGATTCTCCCGTCTCGCCCACCCGGTCCCTCACCTATCCCCCTTTGCTACCTACCTCCTCTCCAGTCATCAGTAAACAAAGGAACAAATGCTCAAGTGCTCTCACCCCATGCTAGGCAGTAGAAATTACCTTAAATTCTCACAATCGCCCTCAGGGACGCAGGTGAGGACGTTGTGACTGAGAGTGGCTAAGGGACTTGCTTGGCTGCTGAAAGGCAGAACTGAAACTCACACCAGACCTTCTGATTCCATCTAGTGCTTCTAGTTTGCGGGGGGGTCGGGGGGCGGGGAGCATTGCAGTAGGGGTAGGGGCAGGGGAGACAGAAAGAGAAGGCAAGGGAAGGGATTGCTGGGGGTCCTCAAGCCCAGGGCACAGGACCAGGTGGCCAGTTCACAGTCTGAGGGCTCCTGCCCCACCTCTGGGTCCAGCTGCCACATCAGGATTCCTCCACTCCACCCCTGCATCCGCTCCCCAAGGCTGGGGCTGGGACAGGAAAACGCAGGCACTCACGCATGCACATCACGACAGCCCCAAAGCCTGCAGAGGTGGAGCAGCTGTTGCCTTAGGCAGAAAGGCTTTATTTTTTAAATAAAATTATTTAATATATAATTCAATATATTATAAAACTATTCCCCAGAGGACGCTTTTATATAATACCGAAAGTAAATAATCATCTCCCTTCCTGAAGAGGAAAACATCCCCAAAAGGCTTCATCAGAAATCCTTTGGTCAAGCAGGCTAGCTGGTTCCCAAGGCCCTTCGGGTGGCCTGACTCTTTGTCACTGTTCTTAAAACCTTCTAGAACATGAACTCCAGAAAGAACCTCCGACTCCAAGACCCTCTCCTTCTACAGGTGGGAAAACTGATGCTCGGTGGGGAGAAGGGTCTGCTCAAGGTCACTCGGCATCAGCGGCAGAGCTGGGGTTCAGCCCAGGGCCCCCACCCAACCCGGTCTGCCCCTCCTTCTCCCCAGGCTCATTCCCTAACAAGGCTGGGGCTCTGACGGAGAGCTGGGCGCCACTTCTGTTTGTTTGTTTTGGTTTTGGTTTTTTTTGTTGTTGGTGGTGGTTTTTGCAGTACGGGGTCTCTCACTGTTGTGGCCTCTCCCGTTGCAGAGCACGGGCTCCAGATGCACAGGCTCAGCGGCCATGGCTCACAGGCCCAGCCGCTCCGCGGCACGTGGGATCCTCCTGGATCGGGGCACGAACCCGTGTCCCCTGCATCGGCAGGCAGACTCTCAACCACTGAGCCACCAGGGAAGCCCTGGGCGCCACTTCTGAATGCCAGGTGGCAATGCGGCCATGACCACCTCACTCTTCACCTGGAAACTTACCCAGCAGCACAGGGCCCAGGCACACAGGGGCTTCAGGGACAAAGAGGCCTGGAGAAGCAGGGGACACACCCTCCCATCACATCACCCCACCTCGGGCCAAGCATCTGCCAGGGCCATGCGCTTCCTACCCTGAAACTAAGAACTTCCACGTGACTTTGCTTCTTGTCTTGCCGATAAGAAGGCTTGGGGGACAGTTAAATATGTCTTTTTGTTCTAAGAAAAAATAATGGCTACTTAATACAAGTAGCCTGGGTGGGCAAAGTCTTTCTGGACACGGGGTGCTCGAAGGTGAAGGAAGATGACACGTCCTCGGGGCTGAAAAGGGAGGGCTTCTGAACTAGGCAACCCCAGGGGGGCTTTCTTTCTGACAGCACTCCCGGTACACCAGGAAGGGGTGGACAAACGTCAGAAGAGTGACGAGCACCAGAATCACATTCACCTGGAGGGAGAGGAAGCAGTGAGGCGAAGTCCACTAGTGGAGGAACCAGAATCCTGCCTGGTTTATCCCCTACTTTCCACTCAGACCCAACGGTGCCCTCTGGGATGGACTCTTGGTTATTTTCCATTCTGCCCCATGGAGCAGGGTGGGTGAGGGGTAGGGGAATATTATATTATGCCTTTTTTTTTTTGGCCTCACCCCATGGCATGTGGGATCTTAGCTCCCTGACCAGGGATTGAACCCTCGCCCCCTGCAGTGGAAGCGCAGAGTCTTAACCCTTGGACCGCCAGGGAAGTCCCTGTGCCCATTACACAGATGAAAAAACAGAGGCCTAGAGAGTATTCAGTGACCTGGGAAGAAGCTGTGTCACGTTAACCCTCTGGCTTCAGGGACCCCCACCCCCACCCCCAGCACAAGGCAGGGCACTCCCACTGACCCCAGTTTGAGAAGCAAGACCAAGGATGTACCCATGTGAAGAAATGCTCCTGCAGGGACCACACCCAGGCCACCCCAGCCAGGTGGGGGCGCCCCCTGCTGGGGACCAACACAGTTGTCCCAATCTGGACATCCCTGCTGGTCTAAGGCCAGGGTCCCCCAACCCGCCACAGTACTCACGTAGAACGGGTCACTCTGGAGGGGACCTTTGATGAGGGTGAAGATTGGGAACTGGAGCAGAGACACGACAGCTGACAAGGCCATCAATAGCCCAAAAAGCTTCCCAAAGTGCTCTGAAGGGAACCTGGGCAGAGAGACAAATGAGGTTCCAGTGAGCTCTGGCTGTGGTGGGCCTTGGTCAGCCCCCTGCTCCCCTAGCCTAAGCCTGCCTTTATCCACCCACACCCACACAGCTCCCCTCCTTCACCTTTGCTTAGGCTTTCAAACGACAGAGCAAAGAGATGGCGCCGTGCTCGATCCCGGGGAAACAGCAGGGACCCAGACACAGGCTGTGCCCCGGGAGGTCTCAAGGAAAAGACACGTGAATAATTCCGCTACATGCTAGATGATGCATGCACTATCAGAGGAAGCAAGAATACAGAGGCACAAGGAAAGAAAGACGCTTTCTTTCTACTCTTCCCTGGGAGAGCTGGAACAGAAGTGGGCTTTGGAGGGTGAATAGGAGTTCACAGAGTAGACAACCGAGGCAGAGGGGAGCAGACATGAAGAGCTTTCAGGTACATGAAGGCTCTAACCCTCCCACCAGCCTCCACCTCCTCTACACCTGCTCCCAGACGCTGTGTGCCTCCTCTGGCCACCTCTGGTCCTCACCTCCTGATTTCTTTGCCCCCAGCACGCCTCCCTTTGCCCCAAGGGTGCCCCCGTCACGTGACGCATACCAAGCCCACCTACGTACGCGAGGGTGAGGAAGGCAGCATTGCCCCCGTAGAGGAAGGAGCGGTTGATCACTTGCAGGGTGAAGGTGGCGTACTGCAGGGGGAGGACAGGGATGGAGGCGCAGAGGGCAAAGCCCAGGCACAGCACAGACGTCAGGACCAGCGAAGGCACTGTTGAGCGCAGGGCCGCCGCCGAGGCCGAGGAACCTGGGCCAAAGGGAAGAGCAGAGGCTGCGTGGATGCCCGCAGGGGGGTCATCCTGAACCCTCTCTCCACACATGCCCCATCTCCAGTCCATCAACAAGTGGTGATAATTCACTTCCTAAGCATCATTCAAATGTATCCACTCGTTTCCAACCCCGGCGACTCATCCTAATTATAGGCAAGCATCACTAACTCATAGATTATCACAATGACCTCCTGACAGGGAGGGCCCTCAACCCACAGCCAGATACTCTGGGTAGCACCATGGGTAATAGCAGAAGACTGGAAACCAACCAAATCAGCAGCAGTAGGGGAACGCAGCACCAACTACGCTGCAGTCACATAACAGAATGAGGCAGGGGTCAAAGGCAGAAGGAGGGAGCCTGGCTGTGGGGCAAACCCAGGACAGAGAGTTACATAAAGAAAGCTGCAGGGGGCTTCCCTGGTGGCGCAGTGGTTGAGAGTCCGCCTGACGATTCAGGGGACATGGGTTCGTGCCCCGGTCTGGGAGGATCCCACATGCCGCGGAGCGGCTGGGCCCGTGAGCCATGGCCGCTGAGGCCGCAACAGTGAGAGCCCGCGTACCGGAAAAAAAAAAAAAGGAAGTGCAGGACAGGGTGTGCGATTCGCTGCCTTTTATCTAAGAAAGCAAAACTATACACACATACAGAGTCTGTCTTTAAGGAAAAGCAAAAACAAAAACAGTTACCTAACGAGGGAAGGAATGGAGGACAGGGAACAGAGAAGGAAACTAAACTTCTTTGACTGTATCTTGTTTCATAGTTCTGGCTTAGGAATGTCAATGTTTGATATGCAAATGTATTTAAAATAAAATAATAGGAAGAAAACAAGCAAAGCAATTCCAAAAGAAATCCAACAAGATGAAACCAATGAACATAACTTTATATCAAGTTGGCGACTCTTAAAATACTGTAATTTGACTGACAGCTCTTACAGGATGTATCCTCAGGATGAGAACGGAAAGAAGGAAAGAAAGGAGGGAGGACGGGAGAAACAGCATACAGCAATCGTACTATTATTAATAGTATTGATGATGCTAAACCAGTAATTATGCATAAAATATATTTGTAAAGTACTATATATATATATAGTATGTGTATATAGTATACACTGTATGTATATACAGTAAATATATTCATATAGCATATATTAGAGTATTTTAGGAACCAAGATTTTCAGACGAAAGGAGATACAAATGTAAAAGTCAAGGAAGTAAAATTTCAATTAAAATATCAGTACTGGATACTCATGATGTATTTTTTCATCCAAAAAATTATGTATATCTTACCTCAGAGGCCTAAAAGCAATGGCAACCCAGGAGAATTAGAAACCTTAGCACCCAAATTGCACTCTTTAAATACCATTTCTCATTTAAAGGGACCCAGGGCTATTTGGAGAAATGGCTGGTTTCAGGTCTGGGCCAGGAAACATACCCAATGAAATGGACCTGAATATCTCCTTGTGACAGAAGGGAAAGACACTCTCTAAAACTAATGGGACTATTTGTTAAGGACACAGATAGTGGATTGGTAAAGTTGCCGATAGTCAAAGATGAGATAATTTGAGAAGAATTGTGACAGAGGTGGATTGAAACATGTCAAATATATTTAAAATGAGATTTTAAAAGAGAAACTATGGGGCTTCCCTGGTGGCGCAGTGGTTGAGAGTCCGCCTGCCGATGCAGGGGACACGGGTTCGTGGCCCGGTCCGGGAGGATCCCGCGTGCTGCAGGGCGGCTGGGCCCGTGAGCCATGGCCGCTGAGCCTGCGCGTCCGGAGCCTGTGCTCCGCAACGGGAGAGGCCACAACAGTGAGAGGCCCGCGTACCGCAAAAAAAAAAAAAAAAAAGAGAAACTATGAGTGGTTAGCCCTGGAAGTTTCTAGGGCACCAAATCATTTTTCTAAAACTAGTAAATAGAGGAAAAAGCATGCATTTATTTCAGGGTAACGAAATACTTAATAAAGGAAAGGTTTTCTTTCTAGAGGAATTCTAGCTATTAAAAGCAGAAGGAAAGATAGAAATAGAAAATCTCCTTTTTGCGACCCTAATAAAATAATGGGTCTAGGCACTGGTCATCAATAGCTGTTAAAATCATTAGGCCTGCAGCTGATGGGAAACTTTTATAATGCGCAGATCAGACTGACAATGTCTGAACCCACTGATCAATCTTAACATCATAAGAACAAAACCACAGGTACTAAGGGCCTGATGACGAGAGCTTGTAGGTAGCCCACGGCTCCAGCTCTGAAGTATACTTGCCAAAAAATATTAAATATTAGTATTAATAAAAATATTACTCTGCCTGTTTACAGGAAAGACCCAATCAAAGAAACGTTTTTAAATGACATGAAAAGGATGCCAAACCCAAAATGTGGGAAATCTGACAGGACAAACAACCTAGTTCCTTCGATAAATGAACAACAAAGGGAAAAAAGGGGGTGGGGGACACAGAGACTTAAAAACATCTAAAAGACACATCAGTACATTGTGTGGCCCCTGTAAGGATGCGAATCTGAACAAACCAACTATAAAAAGGCATAGGTGAGACCATTAAGGAAATCTGAACAGGTCTACATTATTAGATGATACTAAGAAATGATTCGGGGCTGTTTTACACATGATAATGATATTATGGTGATGTTTAATTTAAATAAAAGAGGTCCTATTTGCTGGAGCTACCAACTGATGTATTTACAGATGAAATGATCTGATGTCTGAGATTTGTTTTAAAATACTCCAGCAGGGTTAGGAGAAGCAGCTCAGGGAAGTGAGAAGTGGGAGAGATGAAACTATAGGGGTAAAGGGAATTCCCTGGTGGTCCAGTGGTTAGGATTCTGCGTTTTCACTGCGTATGCCCAAGTCCAGTCCCTGGTCGGGGAACTAAGATCCCGCAAGCCGTGAGGTGCAAGGTCAAAAAAAAAAAAAAAGAGAGGGACCTCAGCATGCCTGCTCCTCCATTCTTGTCCAAGGATCATGTCCAAGCTCCTTGGCATAACACGGCCTGTCCCTTCTTACCTCCGTCTTTCCAGCCCCCTCCCGACTACCTCTCTGTGCCCTGGCCAGCCCGAATCACTTTCTGGGATTCCTCAGATTCCTTCATGTTTCACTCTCCCCTTCACCACCCTGACTCCTCTGTGCTCCTGGGCCGCCCTCCCAAGGCCCCTCCTCTACACTTTCTCACGTCTTCACTCTTCCTTTAGGTGTTGGCTTAGATGCCGCTTCCTCCAGGAAGACTTCCTTCCCTGACACCCATCCCATCCCCACCCAGAACAGGTTATGTGCCTTTCTTTCTGTTTCATAGCTCCCTGCAGGTTTACTTCATGGACTGGGAAGCTTGATTACTGGCATTTCTCCACTCTCTAGACTGAGAAGAGCTTCTTGAGAACAAGGACGTATCTGTCTTGTCCGTTACTGAATCTAGAACTGTGATTGGCACATAATTGGCACTCAATGACTAGTGGTTGGATGATGGATGGATGGGTGATGAATGGACAGATGAGGGATGGATGGATGGATGAGTGATGGATGGATGAACGGACAGATGCAAGTAGAAAAGGATTTAGAAGAAAAGAGAAGATGGGCATGGAGGAAAATAAAGATCTCTCCCCTCCTGGTTCCCTGATCCTCTGGAGCCCAGGTCTCACCTGTCCTTCTTGCTTCCTCCTGGTACTTGCGTTTCAGCCGATCCATGAGCAGCCCATTCCAGGGGGCACACAGCACTCCAAAGAACTGAGTGATGGCAAAGGCATTTGTGTACGTGCTGACTGCAGAGGGCAGAGAGGGGTTGGGCGGTAAGAACTTTCCAGGAGTGCCTTACGGAAGAGGACCCTCCCACCCGGCCCTTGCCCTGCCTGACCCTCCTCGCCACACCCCTGCTCAGACCTTTCTCTGGAGCACAGAGCCCTGCTGAGCTCAGCGCCCCGCCGCTCGAGGTTCCAAGTCCCCAGCTGTGGTGCTCAGATGCGCTGCCTCCCAGCCCCGTCACATACCTAGCACCCTGTCCCCACTGGCCAAGTTGCTCAGCAGAGAGTTGAGGGTGCCGATGAAGAGGTAGTGCCACAGCTGTATCACAGACAGCCACACCAGGTGCCAGGCAAAGCGCCGAGAGAAGGCGTAGCTCCAGAAAGAGCGGGCTTCCTGCTGCTGCTGCCCTGGTCTCGGGATCTCTGGCGGGAAGAGGAAGATTTGGGCAAGAGTTACACTTAAAGTTGGGGGGCAGGGATGGGCAAGAGTGCAGGGGTCTTGAAAGGACAGCCTGAGGTCTGAGCTCACCCGCTCTTCTTGCCTTCCTGGGCACACCGCCACCTCCACGCGTCATCCTGTCCCCACCACCCTGAATGAGCCTCCCACGTGCTCCGCCTGCCGAAATCTGATCTATCGCGGCTTGGACTCAATGATGCTTCTTGCGCTAACACTTTCCTAATCTTTCTCAGCCAGGATGATGAAAAGAAAGACGAGAGGAGAAAGTTAAAGACAGCTAGTGTTTCAGCTGATCCACAGCCCCTTCTTTTGCTTCCGTACCAGGATCCTGAGTCTTCTCTGGAAATCTCCCCCTGCCCTATTCTTCATGGTCCAGATGGGACTGCGAATTAAGCATTCCATTCCTCACCCAAGGCTGACCAAGTTGATCATTCTCCTCGAGAGGCAGACTGGCTGTGATTTCAGACTGGGGTCCCCAGAGGCAGGTCCCCTGGTTCTGCTCTTCCTGGATGGAGCCTGGCAAGTTCACTTTGCCCTTGCTTTTGTGAACTTCTCAGAATCCTGTTCTCATTTCTACCTTAACCAGCCGTGGTTTGTGATGTTTATAACCAAAGACCCAAAACAGACAGAGGAGAGAAAGGAGGCAGTGATGGAGACGGGACAGACCCAGCGGACCTGCAGAAATGGGGACAAATAAGGCAGACTTAGGAGTGGGGGGAAGGGAAGGCAAATGATGGAAGACTGGCTGCAAGGGGAAGGGGTATGATGAGATGAGAAAGAAAAGGGGGACAAAGAGGAGAGATGAGACAAAAATGTTGCCCCTCTCTGGACCGCCTATAAACTGAGGGGGTTGAGAAGATCCTGCAGGTCTTTTCCCTACCTGTCCTTTCCTGATTCTGAGTCCCTGGGAAAGCTTTGGAGGTGGCTGTGGGGAGAGGCCAGGTTCCGGAGGGGAAATGGGTTAACCAGTAGGGCTCACCTTCCTTGGGTGAAAGGAACTTCTCTGAAAGCTCCAGCTTTTGGGACTCAGCCGTTTTCTTCTCTTCCTCTCTGGGGCCATCCCCAGAGCACAGGCTGTGGAAACAGAAGTCCCATCAGCCTGACCCAAGATTGTGAGCCGAGCCTCAGATTCAGGCCGTGTGTGTGTGTGTGTGTGTGTGTGTGTGTGTGTGTGTGTGCGCGCGCGTGCGCGCGCGGCGGGAGGGGGGATAGTACCTTTCGCTATACACTGGAATCACCTTTTCACAACCCCAATGCCCAAGTCACAGCCCAGACCGATTAAATCAGAATGTCTGGGCGTGGGAGTCAGGCTCCCACATTTTTTAAAGATCTCCAAGTGATCCCAGCAATTCTAATACGCAGCAATGTTTGGGAACCACTGAAGTGCAGGAAGAACAGGACAGGCCTGGGTTCAAACCCCAGCTCTGCCTCTTCCTGAGGCTGTGCAACGCGGCTCAGACCTAACTCTTCTGAGCCTCCTTGTTCTCATTTGGAAAATGGAGGGAAGTATGCGTATCTCAGGACTGCTGTGAGATGAAATCAGAGCGCATGGGGCTGCTGAACAGCAAACAAATGCCCTCTCTCTACTGCTGGGATGACTGGCGGCACAAACGGTCCCATGTCTTCCCCGCCTCTGCTCTCCACCCTCTGCGGTACAGCTCTGACCACTTCCCCGTCCCCTCCCTCTGGGCTGGCCTTGGGAGCTGCCCGGCCGAGACAACCCAGCAGAAGTGATGCTGCGACAATTCTCAGCTTAAAAGTGAAAAAACCTTGTGCATTTTGGCATTTATCTTGGAACCCTGAGACCACCATGTGAAGAAGCCCAAGCTAGCCTGTGGGAGGATAAGAGCCACGTGACCCAGAAATCCCTGCCACTCCCTATGGCCAGACAAACCCCATGTGAGTAAGGCCATCCTAGACCAGCCAGCCCCCACCTAGCCCACCAGGTGATCAGAGGCATGAGAAGCCTTGTCAAGGTCATCCAAGCAGCTCCCTGATCAGCAGAACTAGCCAGCTACACACAGACCTGTGGAAATAATAAATGCTTCATGTTTTAGGCCATTAAGTTTTGGTGTAGTTTGTTATGCAGCAGTAGCTAACTAATACATCCCTGGTCTAGTCCTCCTCTCCTGGGACAGGTTTCCTCTGCCTTACCATGTCTGTCCCATCCCTGCTTCCTACTCCAGGTGAGATGAGGGGCTCTGGGCACACCATCACCAGCTCATAGTCCTTACCCATAGCTGTAGTTGGGGGGCAGTGGGTAGGGGATGTGTCCCCTGGGCATCAGAAGGAAAGTACGCCCAACATGCCAGGCACTGCAGACAGAGATGAAGATGAAGGAGGCCCTGAGACTGATGCCCTGTTCATAAAGGAGCTGCAGACAAAGGAGAGGAGAGGTCAGTGTAACAGCCACGTTCACAGCAGCATTATTCACAACGTCTGAAAGGTGGAAGCAAATCAAGTATCCATCCGCGGATGAATGGATAAAGGAAATGTGGCACACACATACGATGGAACATTATTCAGCCTTAAAAAGGAAGGAAATTCTGACACCTGCTACAACATTGATAAACCCTGAAGACATTAGGCTAAACGGAATACCCAGTCACAGAAGGACAAATACTATATGATTCCACTTAGGAGGTACCTACAGTAGTCAAATTCACAGAAATAGACAATAAGACAGTGGTTGCCAGTGGCAAGGAGGAGACGGGGGGGTACCCACAATGGGCGTTATTGTTTAATGGGCACAGAGTTTCAGTTTTACAGGGTGGAGAAGAGTTCTAGAGATGGATGGCGGTGATGGTCGTAAAACAACACGAATGAACTTAATGCCATCGGACTGTACACTTAAAAATGGTTCACATGGAAAACTTTATGTTAGGTGGGGTTTTTTTGCCACGCAGCAAGCAGGATCCTAGTTTCCTGACCACGGATCGAACCCGCGTCCCCTGCAGTAGAAGTGCAGAGTCTTTTTTTTTTTGGCAGTGCGCGGTCTTAACCACTGGACCACCAGGGAAGTCCCTGGGTGTATTTCATCATACAAAAAGTCAGTGTAAGAATTAGGGGCTGAAACCTGTTTCTAAGAAGGAGGCTTGGCCCAGGCTCTTGCCTTCCACCCTGGCGGCTGATTACGGATGCCTGGTGCTCCCCAGCAGCGGGGAGATAAACACGGGCCATTGCTATCTTTTACCTTAATGATAAGGAAGACTGCCGAGGAAGAGTCAAATGCTCCGTTGTACATGGTGATGATGGTTGAACGGTGTTTGCCAAATAGGTTCCCGATCTGGAGGACACACGATCAGCCTGAATCACCTATTTATTCGTGAAATCTTTCCTGTGCACCCGGCAAGTGTCAGGCCCTCATACCCAGACCTACCCTCCACCCCAGGAGCTACCACCCTGGCTTGGGCCAACCCCATCAGAGGCAGCCAATGTAGCAAAGTGCTTCTCCCTCCTTCCACCCGCCCCAACCTCCAGCCAGGGGCCCGTGATTAGGGCAGGCTCACACCTGCAGGTTGGTGATCAGAAACAGGATTCCTCCTACGGTGAGCATGGGCATGGCCAGGAAGAGCAGCACAGCTGAGTCTGGAACAATCCAAGACAGAGATGGGGAGGTGTCACAGTGCAGCCCAAACATGCAACCCGAACTCTGGCCCCCCTGCTCCCTACAATCCTGGGCTTAGGGCCCCAATTCTAGGCAGCCTCCCAGCATCCTCCAAGGACCTTAGAGTCCTGGTCATGGCTCCTTCACGTGCCCCTGTGGAGGGATCCTGCAGAGGTCTCCTGAGACACCCTCTTCCTCACCAAAGATGACCCTTGGTCTCTGGCAGGGTGGATGTCTACAGAGAGAGGCACAACTCAACCCACCACCCCCTTCCCTCACTAAACCACAAGCAGCCCCCCTATGCATCCTTGACACTGTGGGGAAGAGAAGCCTGGATTCAGTCCCTGAGCCCAGCCTCTAATTCACTGCTTTGAGCTAGATTCTGAATTTGTGACTCAGTCATTTCATCTGATAAATGGGAATAACATTCCCTGCTCTTCCCACCTCACCAGGCGCTGTGAGATCTGAGCGTCTCTCTTTTGTTCATTAAACTTTGAGCATTTCCTTTGTGCCAGGTGTTGTGCTTGGCACTGGAAATGCAGGATGAATAAATACTTCTTGCCCTTGGAAAGACTGACATGCAAAAAAATCATTCTAATAGGTCTGGCAAGTGTTGGGTAAGAAGAGCAGAACTAAAAACAACTCAAGTGCCAAGGACTAGGGAGCCCTCCGTAAGTTAGTCTTTCCCAAGTCACAGTCTTCTTTCTGCCCACCTTCATGATTTGGGCCATAACCCACACCTGTCTTATTTGCCAAAAAAATTTTTTTTTAAGTTGACTCACTTTTATCCAAAAGAAATCTATTATTTTTAAAGGAAACTTTATATTGGGAGTTCCCTGGTGGCCTACTGGTTAGGATTCTGGGCTTTCACTGCCGTGGCCCAGGTTCAGTCCTTGGTCGGGGAACTGAGATCCCACAAGCCACTATGGCACGGCCAAAACAAGAGAAAACTTTATATCGTTAGTATAAACGAAAAGCAACTTGTGCTGCTTGTTGTGAATAGGAGGTAACTGTAAAAATAAATACAATGAAAACACTGTTATTCAACTGTAACTGAACGCAGTGGCCTTCAGAATGTTCAAAGCCTGATACCTGCTCTTGTCATAGTGTTAAAATCATCCCAGCCCAAACCAAGACTTCCGTGCATGAAATCAGAGGGCTAGTGAGAAATAAAAAGGGAGTAACTCTCCCACCAGGTGATTCAATGTTAATGCAGCATGTGTGCTTCCTAATAATATTCTCCAAAGTAACTATTATCCGAGTAACTTTTGTTCCATACCTTGAGAAGCGCTGTACACTTGCTCATTTTAGATCATTCACACTGTTTACCATTCAATTTCTGTCTCTATAAAAGGTACGTCTTCAAATGCACTAAAGGTTGGTTGAGATTCCTTTCACAATAGCATGCTTTTTCCAAAACCAAAAAGCCCTATTTTAGGGGGAAGGGAATATTGTGACTCCAGTGATTCACACACGTGAGTCAAACATACCCAGCCATCACCTCCACATTCAGCCACTTGAAAACCATGCTTAGGCTTTTAGGTAAGAAGACAGTATGATGAGCAGAGTGGTTTTTGTTTTTTTTTTTTTTAAATATTTATTTATTTATTTGGTTGTGCCGGGTCTTAGTTGCTGCATGTGGGCTCCTTAGTTGGGGCATGTGAACTCTTAGTTGCAGCACGCACGTGGGATCTAGTTCCCTGGCCAGGGATCAAACTCCGGCCCCCTGCATTGGGCACACGGGGTCTTAGCCGCTGCGCCACCAGGGAAGTCCCGAGCAGAGTGGTTTTTAAATAACCAGGCTACCTCATGAGATCTGCTCAGACAGAGACCCTCAGTCAGCTTTGCGTTCACTGAACACAAATGAAGTAACAGATTCAGCACAGGTACTAGACACAGGAGAGTTAGGTACTTTTTATTTCCTAACCCAAAAACTGAGCCACGTAATCTGGCACTGGGGAGGAATACTGGAAAGCATCTTTTGGCCTCTATAACTGAGATGCTAGCAAAGAGCACAGCCAGGGTCCCAGGACCCCTTCCCACTAACTTGCTCTGGGGCCTCTGGCTAGTCTCTGCAAAGGGTCTCTCTCTGACCTCAGTTTTCCCCTCTACGTAATGGAGGAAGTGGGGAATACACCAGACTGGAATTCCCAGACTTTGGGAACTGTATACACTTATAGACGAGTAAAATTTGAAAAGAAAACTTCTGACTACAGTGGGGTTATCAGTTTGTACCCAGCTAAGTCAGGATATTTTCGAAAACTGCCATTCCTATTATCATTTCATTAAAAAAAAGAGAGAGAGGACATTTAATACATAACGAAAGGATGTAATCTTTTTGGTTTTTTTGTTTTTTTGCGGTAGCGGGCCTCTCACTGCTGTGGCCTCTCCCGTGGCGGAGCCCAGGCTCCGGACGCGCAGGCTCGGCGGCCATGGCCCACGGGCACAGCCGCTCCGCGGCATGTGGGATCCTCCTGGACCGGGGCACGAACCCGTGTCCCCTGCATCGGCGGGTGGACTCTCAACCACTGCACCACCAGGGAAGCCCAGAAGGATGTAATCTTTTGAATAAGTTCTTCTCTCTGAAGCAGTCCCTCCACTGTCCTTATTTTTTTGCATGTCTCACTAGACTGAACTGTTTTTATAGACCAGCAATAACTCTCTCAAGGACTCTTTCCAGCTGAAAGTCTGTGGATCTCTGAATACCTGTGGGGGTCAGTGCATCCTGCCCATCCATCACCTTCTGCACCTGCCCATTCACCAGCTGCCCCTGAGGTTGTGTCCCTCCCGACAGCACTCACCTGCAGAGATGAAGGCTATCGTAAGCGTGGCACTGGTGTAGAGAAATCTGGAACACAGAATGGCAGATGGAGAATGCGGTCAACGAGAGAGAAAGCTGGAGGGGCAGAGGGTGCGTGGAGCCAAGGTCCTCCCACCTAGAAGTCCCAACCAGCCAAGCCCTTGAAGAAAGGGGTTAGTGCCTCGTTTACAAATCATAATCTTGAGTTCTAATTCCTCTTGCTGTGTGACCTTGGGCAAGGCACTGCCCTTCTCTGGGCCTCAGCAGCCTCTTCTATGAAGAGATGTTTGTGGATGGACCTAGAGACTGTCATACAGAGTGAAGTCAGAAAGAGAAAAACAAATATCGCTTATTAACGCATATATGTGGAATCCAGAAAAATGGTACAGATGAACCTGTTTGTAAGGCCGAAATAGAGATACAGACGCAGAGAACAAATGTATGGACACCAAGTGGGGGAAGTGGGGGGGGGGGGTGAACTGGGAGATTGGGATTGACATATATACACTAATATGTATAAAACAGATACCTAATGAGAACCTACTGTATAGCACAGGGAACTCCACTTCGCCGTATAGTAGAAACTAACACAACATTATAAAACAACTATACCCCAATTTAAAAAATTAAAAAAAAAACAGAATCTAACCATTAAAAAAAAAAAAGAGAGAGAAGATTGGACTGACTGATCTAGGTCCTAAGCTTGAAGTTCCAGGATGTTATTGTTTAAGGACCACAACCCCAAGGTTACGGGACTCTCTTAGAAGCAAGGGGTAATAAAAGCAGTGCTTAAGTGTGATACTCTGATTGATAATAAGAAATACATATTTGGTCCAGGTCCCCAGTCCCTGACACAGGGCTCCTAAGACCCTTGTAAATTCCCACATAAGAGCCCTAGGAGCATCTTTTATTCTAATGAGGTGACCCCGGATGGGTCCTGGAGGGGGGCTGCTCACCAGAAAGACTAGCCATAATTAGATGCTTGGAATTTTCAGCCCTGCCCCCGACTTCTCCAGAGAGGGGAGACGGGCTGGAAGTGGAGTTAATAACTGATCATGCCTACATGAGGAAGCCTCCATAAAATCCCAAGAGTATGGAGTCTGGGGAGCTCCCAGGTTGGTGAACACAGCCATGGACCAGGAGGGTGCTGCACCCCAACTCCACAGGGACAGAAGAGATCCTGGGCTCCGGACCCTCCCTGACCTCGCCCTATGCGTCTCTTCATCTGGCTGTTCATCTGTATCCTTTATCATATCCTTTAATAAACTGGTATAGGGCTTCCCTGGTGGCGCAGTGGTTGAGAGTCCGCCTGTCGATGCAGGGGACACGGGTTTGTGCCCTGGTCCGGGAAGATCCAACATGCCGCGGAGCGGCTGGGCCCGTGAGCCATGGCCGCTGAGCCTGCGCGTCCGGAGCCTGTGCTCCACAACGGCAGAGGCCACAACAGTGAGAGGCCCACGTACCGCAATAAATAAATAAACTGGTATATGTGTTTCCCTGAGTTCAGTGAGCCCTTTAGCAAATAACTGAATCCAAGGGGGAGGAGGTCACAGGAATCCCAGGTTTGCAGCCGAGTCAGACAGAAGTTGTGGGTAAACTGGGGACCTACCACTTGCAATTGGCATCTGAGGTGGAGGGCAGTCTGGTGGGACTGAGCCCTTAACCTGTGGGATCTGATGCTGTATCTCCAGGTAGACAGTGTCAGAACTGAGTTAAATGATAGGACACCCAGCTGCTGCCACAGAATTGCCTGGTGTGGGAAAGGCTCCCACACGTTTGGTGACCAGAAGTGCAGAGTTCTGTGTAAAAGTAAAGGAGAAACACAGGTGGGAAGACTGGGTTTTTCTTAACACACTAAAGGCTGGAGAAGAGGGAGTGGGCATAGAAGGACGGGAAAGAGGAGGAGACAGGTGACCAAATTCCAAGAGCGACTGACAGCGTCATCGTGCACCCAAAGGCTTAGAGAGCCAAGGGCTTGCTTTCCTTCCAGGCTGTTTCCTGGTCCAGCCACCCTCCGGTCCCTCTGACAACTAGCCTCTCACGTGCCTCCTGGGAGGCGCCGGCTCTGGGTCCTATCAGCTCCCCCGCAGGCCCGCCGCTTATCTCCGAACCTGGCCAGCTGCAGTGGCACCCCGTGGAGCCAGCAAGTCCCCCACCCGCCGTGACCTCCCCTCCCGTCAGAGGGAAACTGAAATCCCACCACTGGAGACACCCAGGACACCTTACTACCTAAGCTTCTGGGGAGTGATGGTGGTGGTGACGAGCATGAGGATTAGTCACTCAGGTATGATGAGGACAAAGGTCCCCGGCATGAAGGCGAGAGCGGTAATTCTATTTTTATTTTTATTTATTTATTGGCCACGCCGCACAGCATGTGGGATCTCAGTTCCCCAACAGGGATCAAACTGACGCCCCCTGCACTGGAAGCGCAGAGTCTTAACCGCTGGACCACCACCAGGGAAGCCCCGAGAGTGACAATCCTAGGCTTTGCTAATTGCATAACCTGTCCCAGGCCAGCCCTCACAGGAAGTAGGCCTGGGCTCCTGCTCTATTCAGCACATCGTACAGCATGCAGTTCCACAGGCAACAGAGGAAGGAGGTGAAGAAAGGGAAGCAGGGGTGTGGGGAATAGGGAAGGTCGAGACACAGTCCACACCCTGTGCAGTTTCTAGCAGGGCTGCCGGGGCAGGGATACCCAGTTGCCTGGCCTGGGTCTCCCTCCAAACAAAGCTGCTGCCAGAATTCCTCTTGCCCCACCCCTGTTCAGATCCCCTTGGGACTTACATGGCTATGAGGCGGGCCACGGTAGTCTTGAAACGGTCAAAGATGTAGCCAGCGGGGAATGTCATGAAGTTGTTCATGAAGGATGCCAGGGTGAAGATGAGTGAGAAGCGCTCGTCCTGGGCTTTGCAGTTTGGAGGAGAGAAAGGCAGATCTCAAGAGCCCAGGGTGGATGGGCCAACCTCCCATCCATCCCAGCCTGCCTGCCAGGCCGGCACCCAGCCTGGCTCCCGTCCAGGGCTGCCTCTTCCATCTTGGACAGCTTGCCCGGTAGGATAAGTTCTCCCTTAGATAAGTGGAGACGTGACTACCCCTAATTATCTCTTGGGAGCCGATACTTCCCTCCCCAGGGACCTCTGAGACCAAGGTTGAGGGCGGGGGCAGCTGACACTCCCTTCCTCTCACCATAGACATGCTGGCAGAGGAGGCAGGGGGTAGAGTCCTTCCGACCCCTTCCCACCACCTGGGAACCAGACTCAGCTTCCTAGAGAAGCCCTCCTCCCTTACCATCCAGCCCCGTGGCATTGCCCATCAGCCTGGCATTCGGTTCACACAGCTCCTCAAAGTAATGCTCTGTTTTGAAGACAAACACCAGGGAAGCCCAGCCGAAGAGGACGCCCGCAAAGCCGAGGCATTCCAGCAGCCCCGTCAGCAGGGTGGCTACACGAAGGGGCAGGCTCTGGCCCTGCATGGTCCGAGGTGGAGCTGATCCTCAAATCCCACCGGTGGCCTCCTGCGCTGACCACAGGAGCTGCAAAGCCCGGCTTTTGAGCACTTGGAAAATTGCTTTGGCAGGCGCTTCTGTTCAGGTGGCTCTCTGGTGCTGGCTGTTTCGGGCCTGGGTAAAAACCATCAGTGGGCAACTCCCTGGATCCTGTAAGATGAGGCAGAGGCTGCTTGGTACACAGGGCTGTGGGAAAGGTAGAGGTGGACAAAGGTTCTTTGTGGGATAGATAAAGAAGCCAGGTGTTAGAAACAACTGCAAATGCCTCTGCATCCCACATCTGGCAACAGGTGGGGAAGCTGGAACTGAGCCCCAGCTCTGGAGACCGTCCAGTAAAATACAGCAGCAATTGAAAGCCAGGAACAGGGGGTAAGGGACTTCACACAGGTCCTCACAGAGCCTCACAATAACTTGGCAAAGAGGGTGTTTTCTTATCTTCAGTTCACTGACAAAAGCTCAGAGGACTCTGTCAACTTCCCAAGGTCACATGGTCCGGTTAGTCACGTCGCAGGCCAGTCTAAGGGCAAAAACATCCCCACCTCCACACGATCCTCCGTGACCCTCGGTTAGGGCTCCCAATAACCCCCTTCCCAACGCCCCTCCTCACATCACCATCTGCCGGGAAAGCGCCCAGAAGCCGCTCCCCACCCCCACCCGCTCCCCCTCTAGCACGTGGTCAGCAGAAGCGCCCCGAGGTCTGCCCAGCCACAGAGCCCCTGGCCTCGTCCCCGCGGCCCCGCCGCCAGCACCCCCGGCCCCGGCCCCGAGCCGCGTCCTACCCGCCGGCCATCGCGCGGAGCTCTCGGGTTTGGCGGCGACGTACCTTGCGACGTTTAGATTCGCGCCTCCACTCGCCCCTCTCAGTCCCTCCACGCCCCCAGAGATCCCGGAAGGGCCGGGATGGGCGGGGCCAGAGAGGTCCACCGCGACCCGCTCTCCATCACTTCCTTGTTCTCCAGCTCTCACAATACCGTGCTCTTTTTGACCACGCCCTGAGACCGTCCCTCCTTTCACTCTAACCCCAGCAGCATCTGTTTCCCTCTCTTGATCCTCTGGCAGCCTCTCAGCTCCTTTGCCCCTCCTCCCTCCCCTGACCGAGATAGTTTTAGTTCTGTTGCGCACGGACAGGCAGCCCCACGGAAAAGATCACACAGTCGCAGCACACACACAGACGGCTTACCTGCAGACACACACACACACACACACACACACACTCTCTCTCTCTCTCTCTCTCTCTCTCTCTCTCTCTCTCTCTCTCTCTCTCTCTCTCTCTCTCTCTTCCTTGTGCTCTACCGGCACCACGCGGGTGGGCACAGAATACGTTTCTCTCCGTTTGCCCAGGAGCTCAATCCTTTCTCCTGATCTCATGCTCCTAGTGCTGCCAGCAAATCCCAACACAGAGTCAGAGAACCAAGAGCCGGAACTAGACAGTGCAGACAGGAAAAAAAAAAAATGGTGCCTGGCCTTTCAGTGACTGTTGCCTGCCATTCCACTACCTGCGGCCGATCAGACGGTGCACCCTGAGGGGAATTCAGGATGGAGAAAACGAGATTCTGGCCCTAGATAGTTAAGATCTTTTTTTTTTTTTTTTTTTTTTAATTTTTGAGTGCGCTGGGTCTTCGTTGCTGCGGCGGGGCTTTTCTCTAGTTGCAGCGAGCAGGGGCTACTCTTCGTTGTGATGCGCGGGCTTCTCTTGTTGCAGAGCACGGGCTCTAGGCGCTCAGGCTTCAGTAGTTGTGGCATGAAGCCTTCAGCAGTTGTGGCACAGGGGCTCAGTAGTTGTGGCGCATGGGCTTAGTTGCTCCGCGGCACGTGGGATCTTCCCGGACCAGGGCTTCAACCCTTGTCCCCTGCATGGGCAGGCAGACTCTTAACCACTGTACCATCAGGGAAGTCCCAGTTAAGATCTTATGCAGGAATAACTTCAATGAGCCAACATGCTTTCCTCTTCCCATACTTAGAAAAACGCTAAAATCATGAACTTGAGATGTCTGTTTTTGTGATCGGTAGTAATCTTTTCCTGTTTGACTACATGGGCTGTTGTTGTTATTGTTGTTGTTGTTGTTTCTCCAGCAAAAACGTTTGGATATCTGACTCCTCCCTGACCTCTTTGGAACAGTTTCTCAGAGCCGAGAGGCTGCCTCCCAGGCTATAGTCCTCAGTAAGGTCACTGAATAAAACATAGCTCACAACTTTTAGGTTGTGCTTTTTTTTTTCCAGTCCACAACAGCCTTCCAGAAACCACCCCCTGGAGTGGTGCACTGCCTTTTCACCACCAAGGACCCCTTTGATTACTCCCTTCCTCCCCCTCCAGCCCAGGTTCTGAAAGAGTCAACCTGCCAGACCTTGTTGATTAAATATTCATTCATTGCTCCATTTTTTATTAATCAAAGACATATATAATTGCCCGTCGGAGCTCGTGATCAGCATGAGCTAGCCAGCTGAACCAGCGGGCGCTGCTCTCATTCTGGCCCAGAGCGAGTGAACTAATGGCTTCCGTGGCCATTTCCCCGTATAGAAAGCTGAATCTGGGGGAGAGCTGCTTGTATATTCAGTGCAGTCTACAGCCCCCCCGAGCCCAGCCTCCTGGATTCCTCCTGGGGCCCAGGGACTCAAGGTATTCCAAGCCCACCTTTCTTTTCTACTGCAGAAGAATTAAGAGATTAGGACAGTGGAAAACCAGAACCAGGGAGTATCTTCCAGATTGCTACCCAAACACAAAGGATCAAGTGTAACCACCCAAGCACGCGCTGTGTAGGATAGGGGTGGCTCTGATCCTATACCCCGGCACTCACGAGTTACATAACCCCAAGCCAGCCCTTTGGAAGCCCCACCTGTAAGATGAGGCTGATTAATTACATGAATTGTCACAAAAGAAGTATGAGATGGGTTGATGAAGGTATGGTAGTCAGTAGCCAGACTGCCTAGGGATAGTACTGGGTTCTCCGGGGTCCAGGTATGCAAACAGAGCCAGAGAAGCAGGCTTGGGAGCGGTCTTCAGGGGAACTTGCCCAAAGTCACTCTGTGAGTGCTTTAACACTCCCAGACTTCACATTGGCTAATGGGACATTAGAGAAAATAAGTCTTTTCTTAAAAAAAATTAATTGGTGGGGAAAAAAAAAAAAGAAAATATAGCAGCCCTGGACAAACAGGACTTAAGATGCAAGATTTTCTATTTTACTGTGAGATACAAAGACACTGAAATTAATTCAAGGCCTATCTCCTGCTCCAGCTTACATTTTGGTCTCCTGAGGACCTGGGGGATCAGTGAGTGTGGAAGCAGCAAGGGAGGAACACAAAAAGTCAAAGCAAAGAGACAGAGATTTTAGAATGTAAATCTGCAGGAACCCTCAGAAAGGCCCAGCTCCCGGGCTATCCGTACATCCAGGACTGGAGCTCAGGACCCGGACGGGCTGTCCAGGCTCTGTCCACCTTATCCTGTTATCTCTCTCTGGCTCTCAGTGGCCGCCACCCGCATCTAAGTCTGCAAGGCGCGCCCTCTGGTAATGTGACCGTCTTACTGAAACCGTTGGGACGGAATAATAGAATATTCTTTGAACCATTCCCGTTTTATTTGGTTCGAGTTCCAGCATCTAGCAGAGACAGATGCTATTTAGATTACTCTCAAGCCTCACTCCGATGAGGATTAGTGTGTAACATCAGAGAGAGGAGTGATTATAATAAGATCTGACGGTGCGCCTGGGGATGTCTTCATTCCTTCCCTCTTCATTTCTTTCTTTCCGCTCCACCCTGCAACTTTTGGAAGTGATTGATTCGCTCGACAAATATACGTGGCGCTCTAGGCTTTGTGCCAGGTGCTGGGATTCAGAGCTAAGAGATTCAGCCCCTTCCCTCAAGGAGCTCATTCTCTAGTGGGGGAAACAGACAAAGGAATCCAAGATTTCTGGAGGGAGGGGATGGTCTTCCAGGCAGAAGCCGGCATACTCCGTTCAGAGGCATGGAGCCCAAGTACAGCAAGAACATTCAGCAACCGGCTAGAGCAAGGGCAGTGGCAGCACTGGAGGCTGGAGTGGCCGCCTAAGTGAAGGTCTTTGGATGTCAGCCCATATCAATCAATCAGGTCCTATTGATTCTACCCCTTAATATCTCTCCTCTCCATCCTTGGCCATTGCCCTATTCAGACACTCATCATCTCTCACCTGGACATTACCTGCTTCCAAACCGTCGCCACTCTGCTGCAAGAGTTGACGTCCATCGTTCCCATTTGATGACACTACTTACCTGCTCAAAACCCCTCCCAGGCCAGAGAGCCAGTCAACGAGCCAGTGAAGGCCAGTCCAGGCTCTGGGGATACCAGCCATGGGACAGTATTGCACTGGGGAAAAGAGGGAACTTTAGCACTGGGTATCTTGCTTCCCACCCAAGTACTGGTGCTGGGGGGGATTTTCCTTCCCATTATGAGCATGTCTGGATGCCCAGGCTCTACCCTATGACAAGGGGGTGGGGAGGTGGGTATATTTATTTAGATCAGGGAAGAATGGTTTGCCATTTGGCAATAGGAATGAGCTGCACTAAGTCACCCCCCACTCCCCACCCCCCATCTCCCACCACCCCCACCACCCATCTCCCCCCCCACCCCCTCCCCCCCACCCCCCCCATCCCCACCCCACCCTGCACAAGCCGTGGCCCACCTTCCAATGCCGCTGCTGCCTCTGCACTGACCTCTCTCCTCAAACCTCCTCCAAATAACCTCAGGCAAGACCGACCGCCCCGCCGCTCTCGGGCAAGGTCCACATACTCTTTCCTGCCCCTCATCCCCTTCCAAATTTTTATATGTGGATACATTGTCAACCATTCCTGTAAAGGGCTTTGATTTCTGACATGTCAAGCAAACAAACAAAACAAGACAGAAACTTTTAGTTCCTTCAAAATCTGGGCTCGCTGCAAATCAAACTGGTTTTTCCCAGCTATGGTCTTAAATGAGGTTTCAGGACCCTGTTTGGGGAGACAAAGGTAAATGCACATATTTTCTGTTTCATTTCAACTGGGGAGAAAAATACGAATCATCTCGAGGCAATGCCAAAAAAAAAAAAAAAAAAAAAAAGACTCATTGGGCCAATTACTGATCTTACTGATCCCTCTGGGCTCCAGTGTCCTCATCTATAAACTGGAATCAGGTTGCTGTATGGATTAAAGATGTAAGAAAAGTACCCAATTAGCACACTAGCTAATTAATAAATAACAGCTATTGTTGTTAAGAAAAATTAATTACTGAAAAACGGAGAGGAAATCATGGAATCATATTTGAGGAGGATAGGAAAGTGCTCCTAACCTAAAAAAGAAATGAGAAAATAATCACTGTATAATGGGTGAACTCTGTCATCTGCTCCAAAAACTCCACCCCCGAGAAATGATCTCTAGTTGCTCTCAAATGCACATCCGTGTAACCCAGGGTGACTGGTTTCCATCATTGACTGGACTTGTCCAAAGCAGGGGTGCAGTTCGATTGTACTGTGAGCTGGGGAAGGAAGTCTGTTCCGGAACCGGAATGGATAGGAAAGGGCACAGACTCTTAGAGCTGGACCCTTCAGCATGTCTCCTGCTGTGTTCAAAGCCGTCTGACAGGGTGGGGAGCCGCTGCAGAGCCCTG